GGAGGCATAGAGAAGTCAAGAGAGTGATTCAATTAGGGCTTTGTTTGGGACTTGAGAGTGTATTTAATTATATATATGACAAGTATAGTGGGGGCAGGGCAGGGGTAAGTGTCAGTCCATCCCCGCTTTCATCCCCATACGGGTTTATACAAGCGTCCCCGTATATGTCTACTATCTAATACATACGATTTATCGGTGATCCAAATAGGGTGGGTTTGGATGCATACCAATTTTCCCCCCGTCCACTGCTATCCCTACATCTGTCCAGCTTGACTCTAACACTTTGCCAATTTCCAATTCTCCAACGCATTCCTGCATCCCCTACATGTCTTAAAGCCAAGATGCTATGCCAAGTGAGTGAAAGAGATGACCATATTTGTGCCTCCATAATAGTAGAAGTAGGAAAATACTTAGCCTTTAAAACTTTGAAAAGCATCGAGCCAAGGTGTTGTACTAATCTCCCGAATTGCTTAGCCAACATTGATAGATTAAAGGCTTCCAAGTCTCAGAATCCTAAACCTCATTGGGATTTTGCAAGGCAAAATCTTATTCCAAGCCATCCAAGGAATCTTTCTTTCATTGTCTCTTTGACCCCACCAGAAATTTGCCACTGTACTATTAAGCTCTTTGCATAACAAGGAGGATAATATGAAACAATGCATAACATAAGTGGTTATTGCTTGTGCGACAACTTTAATAAGAATTTCTTTCCCAGCAGATAATAATTTCTCTTTCCATCCTTGCACTTCAGACCATACCCTTTGTCAAATAGAATGAAAATTTTCCTTTTTAACCAACTACTAAGGGTTAGCCAAATACTTTTCATGTTTGGAAACCTCATGGACTTGTAGTATATGAAGGAGAGGAAACTTCTCATCTTGACCAACATTTCTAGTAAATACAACAACCGATTTTGACAAGTTAATCTTTTTTCTCAAAGCCCTTTCATATAAATGAAGACATTCTTTAATAGCTACAAATACAAGACTGTCATCGACAAAGAGTAAATGATAGAAAATTGGACCTCCACAACCAGCAGATAATTCCGTTATTGCATCGTTTGTTTCTACCATTTTCAGCAATGATGAGAGTCCTTCCAAACACAACAATAAAAGTTAAGGCTATAGTGGATCACCTTATCGAAGTATCCCATTTTTTGCCATTTATTACAACAGAATATGAGGCAATATTCACACAAGTTTAGTTAGGGGCAGAGTCAGAAATCTTTTGCAGAGGGGGCAACTTTAAACTGATTAATAAATCAAAATTATAATAGTAATATTAACATTATTTTCTTCAAAAATTTAATTTTAATAACTTTTATAGGGATATTGTTTATGTTATGTTGAGGTGCAACCCATGTGCACAAGTAATGTATGAAGCGAACCAATAAAAAATTAATGAATGTCCAATTAAATTGTAAGTCTTGAATTATAATTGTCTACTATGAAGGAAAATGAGAGGAAATAAGGATTGGATAGAATTTTAAAAATCATTTATTTTTGAATTCATTTTGTAAAATTTGATTGCTATTTTTAATCTTCAAATGAATTGATAGGGCAATTATCACTGTACGTGCATCACACTTTTGCTTAGGGAGGCGGGGAAAAAAAAGCAATAGGACATAAATCCATAACTTTTATTAGTCAAACAAAATACAACACATATAGATTGAAACTACTTTATGCCAAATCATAGAATTCATAACTTCCACCAAAAAACAAACACAATAAAACATAGACAAGATACATAGGATCGACATAATTTTATACCAAAGCATAGAATCCACAACTCCACCAGACAAAAAACACAACAAAACATAGATGGAAACAATTGACTTTATTTTACGATAAAAATACTTAGATCATTGTTTACTAGTCGACGTACATGTACACCTAGCAACACGACCCAACGCATACCCATACCAATCTGCCAGCGGGAAGGCAGATATAGTTAGAACAACAAAAGTAATTTAGGATATCTTATATGGAACTGGGACAACTATCATCCCTGTGGAGTCAACCTTCCAACATTATCCTTGAGAGGGAAGTTCTAAGGATATTAGTATCTATGACTACATTGGCAATAGAGAGAAGTTTATCTGTATAATGGGCAAAGGCAAACAGAGCAGATGTGGCCACAAGCACAATGACCACCACCAGCACAAAAACAACAACCCTCTTAGTACTCTAAATGCTATTATCTTTTCCAAGTACCTAGCTTTCTCTCTTGCTTTGCTTTCTTAATGTATGTTGTGCGAATGTTTGACTCCCCAATTCATGGGGGCCCTTACTACACATTAAGCCTCATTAATTTACTTAAGGCCTTGGTTCCGAGGACCAATTCCAACAAAATTATGACAAAATCTCCTTTGTACGAAGAGCTCCACCCAAAACACAACATGTTTCTAGATAATTACAATGACCTTCCAAGGTCCCATGTAAACATTTATACAATTCTCATGCCTTAAATATCAACCAACAACTCCAAATGTACAAATCATTCATTTGTCAAAAGAATAGATACAAGTGCTCCATATTATATGCCTTTCAAAAGAATATACATGTGTTATATAATTCCAAAAATTCAAGGCTATCTAAGTAATTACAATTGGAACTAAGTATCTGTACATCCAAATAGGAGCTCGGACTCAAGCTCTATCATCAAGCTGGGCCCATGTGCAGGCCATCCGCAGAAGCATGCATTGCACTTGAAAATGTTTACCAACAATGAGGTGAGCCAAAGCCCAGTGAGGTATATCTTCTAAGAAATATGCCTCCCAACTCAATGGTGCATATGATGGTAAGACACATTTGTATAAATCAAGTATTCCTATAAGTAACATGTGACATAAATAAATGCTACCAACAATGCGATGACATGAAGTGGTGTTTCATTCATGCAAAACCAATCTCGAACCTATCCCTGGGTTCCCATGACATATATGATGTCATGCTCATGAACCGGGCCCTCCATGCCCACACCATTGATTTATGTTCCCCCAGTGACCTTTCATTTATTATTTTTCCTTTATGGGGTAGTTAATTTATGGACTTCAACCAATTGGCTACCAAGCTCACACGGATTTTAAGGATTTCCCACCCCCAGTTTGCATACACTGACACACTTTTAAGGACTCATTACACCACCGGCTAGTGTGTGACCGATATAATCGGGTCTTGTACTCGAGGGAGAATTTATCTCTTTTTTCTATACCTCGACATATTATCATGTATGTTCCCATGAGACTTAATCAGACTTTAGTCCAATTCTCAAGCCCCGCCCATTCACCTATGTGGTAAGTGATCAAACCATTTACAAACACACACTACTATAACAATGCATCATGTGTTTTGTGTTAAACCCGTGCTCATACCATGTATGTCCAAATGCAAATTAAATGGACTTACAAGCTCAAATATAACAAGAATCATATATTTCTCATTATAACATTTCATCAACATGTGATATGCATTAGTTAACCCACATAGCATACTTGCCTACACTATGGTATTTCATCAAACATGTAGGGTGCATAAATTCATACACATAACATACATGTCATAATCAACTCAACAACATGCTCATTTACTCAATACTACAGGTATTAGAATAATGAGCTTATAAATCCATAAGAGAACCTAGTAGCTACACTAGTCATATGTTAATTATACAATTAACATACATATAATTATACCAAATCACGTACACCCACTAAATTGGAATTTAGTACTAGCTAGGAGTAAACCCACACTTCTTTGAAGCAATTGGTGATGAAGAAGTCCCTTGAAAACCCAAAGCAAGACTTCTTCAAGCTCTAGCCAAAATCCTTGATCCAAAATTGCCGAAAAAATAATCAATCTTTGTGTTGATAGGTAGCCCTGTTTTGTAGCAAACTTTAATTCTTGGTTGATTGAATTCAAACGGTCGAATCAAAAGTAATTTGCAAAAAGAGAAGGGGAAGTGGAAGAGTTCTTCCAAGCTATCTTTCTCTCTCTCTCTACTTACCGAAATTTGCATGATTTGCAAGAACCCTTTATATACTAACTGTATAATGTGTCAAATGTCATCTTTTTAATGGTTGAAAATCCCCCAAAGCCAACCTCAATTTGACAAGAGTCAAGTGTGGATAAGGATTCTTTAATTATCTATTTAATTTATATTGTGGGTTCCGCGAATAAAAGCCAAGTTTATGGAATTTTAATCGCGTATTTCGCCTCATAATACTTGAAAATTTCAGCTGTCTTAGAATTTAACGAAATTTATATGCTCATCTTGTTTTCGCTAGACAATTCCAATGATGAGACCTGTTTCATTATCCGAGTTATATCAAATTTCATATTTTTAACCTTGCTTAAATGGCTTAATTATTGTGTTACCCACCTAATCAATCTATTAAACTTTTCTGGTTTTCCATTCTTCCACCCTTAAGATAATTTCATCCTCAAAATTAAGAACACACGGAACACATAAGATGAATGCACATGTGAATCTTGTTATATGTAATAATACAATGTTTAAATTATATCTCCATCTTCAAATAGAAATTGATAGGTAGATCGTATAGTTCCTCTCGCTCCCATGTAACCTTCTCAATACTCCGGTGTTGCCACAACACCTTAACCAGCTTCACTGCCTTGCCTCGCAAAACCAATTCTCAGGTATACAAAATATAGACTGGTCCCTCCTCGAAGGCTATATCACCTACATTGACTCCAGTGGTAATTGGCATCGAAACAACAAGGGTGCTTCCAATCAAGACACTTCTTGATTAGCACTATTGTAGTTGCAAATATTTTGGTTCACAAATCTTACTCATTCACTGTTATAACAGATTATTGATCTTTGTGAACTCAAGGGGGATAATAGAAAGAATGCCCACGTAATCATTGACAATTTTGGCAACCATTTTGGGTGTTGCACGATAGGTGAGTTGATGTGTATTATTTCTTCACAACACTAGAGAATTTGGGTTGGTGAGCGTTGCTATAGAATTAGATATGATTGTTTGATATGTTCACAGACTATACCCAAGAAAAGCAAGGACAATGCTGGTGGACCTTGGGAGTTCGTTGGTTTATTGCCTCTCTTTGATCCTCATAGGCATGATTGTGTAGACACCATCCGTAAAGCTCTTGATCTTGGTTTCAATGTTAAGATGATCACCAGTGACCAACTTATTATTGGCAAAGAGATTGGTCATAGGCTAGGCATGGGCACCAACATGTATCTTCATCCTTCCTACCAGGCCAGCACAAGGATGAGTCCATAGCTCCCATTCCCATTGATGAACTCATTGAGAAGCCTGATGGATTTGCTGGAGTTTTCCCTGGTAAATTAGATCTTATTTAACTAAGACTTATTTAGTTGCAATGAATTAAGAAATGATTGCTCGTTGCCAGTACATTTAATATCGATTTGGGCTTTTTAAGAGCAAAAATATGAGATAGTTAAGAAACTACAGGAGAGAAAGCCAATTTGTGTAATGGAAGGAGATGGTGTAAATGATGCTCCAGCACTTAAAAGGGCAGACATTGCAGTGGCAGATGCAATAGATGCAACTCGAGGTGCATCTGACATTGTATTGATCGAGCTAGGACTTAGTGTGATTGTGAGTGCTATTTTGGCTAGTAGAGCCATCTTCCAGAAGATGAAGAACTACGCCATTTATGTTGTTTCAATCACGATTCATATTGTGATGGGGTTCATGATCATTGCACTGATTTTGAAGTTTGAGTTCTCACCTTTCATGTCCTGATCATCGCCATCCTAAATAATGAACCAGTATCTCCATATCTAAGGGTAGGGTGAAGCTGTCTCCTGTGCCCGACTCATGGAAGCTCAAGGAAATCTTTCACATGGGTTGTCCTTGGAAGCTACCTTGCTATCATGACTGTGGTGTCCTTTTGGCAGGCATTTGACACGGATTTCTTTTAAGTAAGTTGAATTACAGTACACTGGTATAATCAAATTAAAAGCTAGCACTAATACCTTTATCATTTGTGGAAAGTTTTTTATGCTAAATCTATCAGGAGAAATCCAAATGAGCTTCCCACAACTTTTTACCTTCAAGTGAGCATTGTGAGTCAGGAACTCATCTTTCTAACTAGGTCCCATAGCTGGTCATTTGTTGAACAACCTAGTTTCTTGCTTGTTAGTGCCTTTATTACAGCCCAATTGGTAAGTCTCTCTCTTTAATATGGAAATCCATGTTGCCCTTTCCTGGTGTACTTGATCACAACACCATTTTACTAACTTCAATGCGTGATCAATATAGGTGGCTACGACCATTGCTGTGTATGCAAACTAGAACTTCACTAGGATCGAAGGCATTGGCTGGGGATGGGGTTGGAGTGATCCAGATCCTTACATTGTGTTTGGTACATGGTATCAGACCTCTGGAATGGAAGGTCATACCTTAGTAATACCATTCCTTTGTTTGGTTTGTTGGAATAAAATTTCATTCCCATTCCTAAAGAATAACTAATCCCATAAATAATGGGATTAACCACTTCCAAATAAACCAAGTATTATTCATTCCGTTACCGTTGATAATTAGCCTAATTAAGTCGACGAAAATTGATCGAGGCCTATTCCTCTCTGTCTCTCGCTCGTCCAGCCCCCATCCTTCGTATTCCCCTCTCTCTCTCTCTCTTTCTTATCACCACCCATCGTTCTTCAGTTCTTTGGCCCAATCCTTCTTCTCTCCTCTTATCTTCTTTCTTCTCCTCCCTTATATGAGTTTTCCTTCATCAGCGGGAAGCATGGCGGTCCATCCCTCACTAGCCATTGTATGCTTCTTCCTCATCTTTTTATGATGCAAGGGGCTAGATTAATGACTAGACAAGATTTGACATCGCCACTAATCTTTGATAACTCTTCACTTTGTTTAGTCAACAATATCAAATCCAATTTAAGAATTTTGTGTCTTTATTTCCCATTTTTAATAATATGCCTGCCAACTATATGATAAAAGTACCCTTAGAAATGAGACAAAATAAAAAAAGGGTTGAATGCTGAGTTTGATCGGTTGTCAAGGCATCTCTTAGCCGCTCTAACAACCAAGAAAGGGGATATGAAGAGATAGGTTTGTGGGTTGCGTTTTTTTTTTGGGTTTAAAGTGTTATATGGATTAGGCATTTTATGCTGTGACTTGGATTGCGTTTTTTTATGTTTTCGCTGAATATGTGTGAGTGTGTGTTTAAGGGTTTTAGAATTTGGGTTTTGGATATTTTTGCATGGAAATTGAACTAGGTTTCATTGCAACGGCTAGGGTTTGGAGGGGTGTGTGTTTGTTTGTGTGTGTGACCTCATGAAATTTTCCCTACTCTGAGTTAGAAGAATTTTGGTATATAGGGTAGTGGGTTTTGTAAAGGAGAAAGGGGAGTTTGTGAGTTTGGGTCGGGTTGGCGATTGAGAACCAGTGACATTTCACTCATAAGAACTTCCAGAGGAAATGCCGCATCATTGGTATTTAAATGGTAAATGCTCGGCCTTTGTCAAGTTACCATCTAATATTTGTTTTGCTACTAGAAAATGCATACCCAGGTCCTCATTCTGAGAAGATATTCATTGTAAAATGATACCATCTTAAGTATATTTTTATTGGTTGGTGATACCACGTGTCACAGATGACTTTGTATTATTGTTGTAATGAACACTTACTTCCTTATGCCCCCCCCACCCACAAAAAAGAAGCACAAATGTCATATACCAATGTCATAAGAGAAACAAATGCTGGTGATATACCCAAGTTTGTGTTGGAATCTAGAGGACTATCACACACTCACAAAAAAAAAATATAATGGGAGAGACTATTGAAGATTAGAAGAACTATTTGTATTCACTCATATCCAAGTTGATGTATTACATATAATATATATAGACTCTCGTGACATACAAAATAACCCCACTACATAATGCAATAATAAAAATAATATAGACCCCACTCCTCCATTACTTGGAAATACCACAATTATTTTGTCCCCCACTAATACCAAATTGATGACTCACTAATACAAAAAACTAAATGCATAAAAATAACTCCTAAAACATGAAAAGTCATGTTTAATATTATTTTTCCAACACCCCCCTTTAAACATGATTTTTCTTCTCAACTCCAAGAAAACTTCTCAATTTGCAAAAGACATCCTCTTTGAGTGGCTTAGGGAAAATATACGTAATTTGATCTTGAGACTTCACAAACTTGAGCTCCACCTTTTTCTTGGTCACATATTCTCTAATGAAATGGAATTTTTGTTAATATGCTTACTACGATCATGAAACACCGGATTCTTTGCCAACGCTAGTGCTGATTTGTTGTCAATAAAGATCTTTGTCGATTCTTCTTGAGGCAAATGAAGTTCCTTCAACAAATTTCTAAGCCAAATGGCTTGACAAATACATGATGTAGCCGCTACATACTCAGCTTCACAAGTCGAAAGAGTCACAATGGGTTGCTTCTTTGAACTCCAAGCAAATGTGGTATCTCCATGAAGAAAACATACCCGGTAGTACTTTTTCTATCATCCATATGTTCGGCCCAATCACTATCACAATAACCAGCAAGCTTGAAATTTTTAGAACAAGAATATAGCAATCTATAATCAAGTGTACCTTTGATGTATCTAAGAATTCTTTTCGCCGCCTTCAAATGGGTCATGGTAGAAGCTTCCATATAGCGACTTACAAGACCAACACCAAAAAGAATATCCGGCCTTGTGCATGTTAAGTACCTCAAGCTTCCCACTAGGCTCTTGAAATGGGTAGGATCCACATGCTCTCGATCTTCATATTTTGACAGTTTTACACCACATTCAACGGGTGTGCATACCGGCTTACAATCTTGCATCTTGAATTTTGCCAAAATTGCTTTAGCATAACCTTCTTGATAAATAAAAATATCTTCCTTTATTTGCTTCACTTCAATGCCAAAGTAGTATGACATAAGTCCAATGTCGATCATCTCAAATTCTTTAGCCATTGCTCTCTTGAAATCTTCAAACATTCTTGGACAATTTCCTATAAAGATCAAGTCATCCACATACAAACATGCATAGAGTATATCACCATTATTATTCACTTTTGCATAAAGAGCAAGTTCATGGGGGCACTTGGTGAAATTATTTGTTTGAAAGTACTTGTCAAGTCTACTATTCCAAGCCCTTGGTGCTTGCTTCAAACCATACAAAGCCTTTTTTAATTTCAAGACTTTCTCTCCTTGCCCTTTCACAACATAACCCAAGGGTTGTTCAACATACACTTCTTCATCAAGAAAGCCATTTAAAAAGCGGACTTTACATCCATTTGATGAATTTTCAGTCATTTAGAGTGGCTAACGAAATAATTAATCTAATTGTTTTCAAACGAGCAATGGGTGCAAATACCTCATCATAGTCAATACCCGGTCTTTGACTATAGCTTTTTGGAACCAACCTTGCTTTATACCTCTCCACTTCACCTTTGACATTTTTCTTTGTCTTGTACACCCACTTCACTCCAATGACTTTTTGTCCTCTAGGGAGTGTGGCAAGCTCCCATGTTCCATTTCTTTCAATGGCATCATTTTTTTCATTCATGGCACTCCTCCACTTCTTATCTTGTGTCACTTTCTCATAGCCTATGGGATCACAATCGGCAAATAGACAAAATAGTGTTAGATCACTAAATCCTTGAATTACCTCTTCGGTTTCTTCATAGATATCTCGAAGACTCCTCATGCGAGGGGGCCTTTCACTTGAGCTTCCTTCGGATGATGGTGGAGATGCTTGCACATTGGTGGATGATGGTGGTGATGGTGGAGGAGAGTAAATGGGCAGCTCCATGATCTCATTATTGGGCTCCCCCTCTTCTTCAAAGACTGAAAAAAAATCATAGTCTTCTTGTGGAGTGTTCTAATCTCATTCATCTTCTTCATCAAACTCAACATCTCTACTAATGATTATCTTGTCATTACTTGAGTTGTAAAGTTTGTAACCTTTGCTTCTTGAATCATAGCCAACGAAGACAAATTTTTCACTCTTGTCATCGAATTTGGTCCGTTTCTCATCTGTCACATGTGCATAGCATACACTTCCAAAGACCCGCAAATGAGAAACATTTGGCTTGATTCCTCCTCATGCTTCTTGTGGTGTTTTGTCTTGAACACTTCTAGCAGGACACCGATTTAACAAGTAGATGGCACAATCAATAGCTTCCGCCCAAAACTCCTTGGGTATTTTTTTACTCTTCAACATACTCCGAGCCATGTCAAGAATGATTCGGTTCTTCCTTTCGGCAACACTATTTTGTTGTGGTGATCTTGGAACCGTTAGAGGATGGTGAATTTCATTTTCTTGACAAAACATTTTGAATTCATTTGATGTGAATTCACCTCCTATATCGGATCTAATTGCTTCGACTTTATACCCAATTTGTTTTTCAATCAAAGCCTTAAACTTTTTAAAAACACGAAACACCTCCAATTTTTGTTTTAGAAAATAATCCCTCGTTTTTCGGTTAAAATCATCAATAAGGAGAAGAAAATACCGGTTCTTACCAAATGGTGGTGGATCTATAGGGCCGCAAACATCCGAGTGAACAAGTTGAAGTGGTTTGGTTGCTCTTGAAATGAATTCTTTGAGAAAGCTCTTTCTAGCTTGCTTTCCAATTATACATCCCTCACAAAGTTGATCCGGGTGGTTAATAGAAGACAATTCGTTCACCATCTTCTTTCTAGATAGCAAGGTTAGTCCTCCAAAATTCAAGTGCCCAAATCTC